TTTGGAACAGGCACCTTTCTTCATCAAAAATATGTACTTGGATCATTGGCATTATACCCAGGAGCAAAGGAATAGAATTTAATTCATGCATTTTCACTATAGAATATTATAGAGCCCCAGCCTCACACCAGAATCTCTAAACCATGAGCCATGAAATTCACAAATTTGGAAGAGGCATCCTTCCTCTTCATAACAATGTAATTGGTTCAATACTCAGGAGCAGAGAAGAATTTTTTAAAGAATTAAAGCAATTTCACTATATAATCATAAGAGCCATACCCTAACACCAGAACCCGACCCTTGGACCATGAAGGTTACAATTTCCGAAGAGGCACCCTTCTTCATCATAACTATGTACCAAATTCATTGGTTTAATACCCAGGAGCAGAGGAGAATTGATGCATTTTTTAACATATAATCAATATAGCCCTGTACTAACATCAGCACCCAACCATTGGGCCATGAAATTCACAATTTCTGAAGAAGTCCTCTTTCTCGTCATAGTTCATTGTTTAATATCCAGGAGCAGAGGAGGATATTTTTAAAGAATTAATGCATTTTCACTATGTAATCATTAGAGCCCCACCCTAACACAAAAACCCCTGACCCTTGGACCATGAACTGCATAATTTTGGAAGAGGCACCCTTCTTCAGCATAACTATGTACATTGTTCATAAGTTAAATACCCAGGAGCAGAGGAGAAGATTTTTAATTAATGACACATTTTCACTATATATTCTATATAGCCCTGCCCTAGCACTAGAACCCCTGATCCTGGGGCCATGAATTTCACAATTTTGGTAGAGGACGCGTTGCTTATAGGACTCAATGCTTATCACAATCATGCCAACAGTTTGATTGCTTGTAGTCCAAAATATCTGAAATTATCTTGGCTTTTTATACGATTTTGATATTTTACATGCCAGGAAAATATCAGAACCGGTACCATTATGAAAATTGGAAATTTCAGCATCTCCAACCAGAGGCTATAGAGGAAATAGATCGTGTTCGTCCTTATTTCATAGTTGAACACAAGGGAGAAAATTGGAGAAAGCAGGCTGCCACCACTAGTATTGACAAAAAGGTTTAATTTTTTTAATTGACAGAAGCAGAAATAGTGCTCTTTTAAAATTGTTTCATCACTTTTTACTTGCCTTTTGAAACATATTTACATCTAACCTTATAAATTGTTTCTTTTTAAAAATGAATCATATAGTAGAAAAATTAAGAAGTGTGACAAGTATCGCAATAAATATCATATTGTAAGAGAGGTGTATCTTTTCAGCCCTAATATAAATGGACCTCCTCTAGAACTTTTATTCAGGCATTATAAATAAATCAGCACCAAAGGATCAGGTCTTTACAATGAAAGAAATATAAAATAAAAATCTTCCATGACTTTTCAATTCTTCAAAAAAAAAAATTAATGAGGATTTTTTTAAATCCAAAGTAACGAAGTGTATAAAATCATGAAATTAATGAGTAATTTTTTACTTTGTCCATTTTTCAGTACTTTGATGATTTCATATTCTTTGATGCTTTTTGCCCAATACCTCAACAGTCTAGTCGAACCCCCAAACAGGGGTAAACGGAAGTAGGAAAACCGTACTCCCAAACTGGGGTATGAGCATGCACAGATGTTTAAAAATGTGCCTATTTCACGGAAAAAGTAGAGGTTTTATGAAAAATGCTGGTGCAAAGTAACCAATCATTTCGCAAATGTAAAACTACCTGGAAATGATTGATTAAAGGTGTTTTAAGAGTTTGTATTTTACAAAAATACAACTTTATTGTACAAATCAGGATTTATTCACTGGTAAAGTTGGCGATCTTGAGCTCTTTGTCATCAAGCAGGGGCTTACAGATAGATTTTTCAAGCACTTACCCACGGGCAAGTGCATGGTCAAATTTCACTTGCCCTACTTCAATTTTTACTTGCCCCACCAGCACTTTATATTCATCATAATGAATTAATTTGTCTCTAAATCGAAAAATTTTGCAGCCTAGGATTATTGTATTGAATATTGGCAACATTTATTGATTTAAAACCACCTGCCATTAAGTACTACATACCATACAAATCTGTTGATTAATTGTATGCTGTTTTATGTCCTGTTCGAGAATTTTCCACTCATATAGAGACGTAAAATTTCTATCATATTTCAGCTATAGTCATGATATCTGCTATTTGTTAAAATTAATGGTTTCGGACATTTGTTTTTTTCTTTTCTCATACCTGGTATGCTTAGACGGTTTTGTACTGAGTTTTTCACTAACATTGTTATAAACGATGTACTTATCGTAAGTTTTTGATCGTTTTCTGCCTCATAACTGTCAAAACTTTCTCCATTTCTCCCATGCCAATTTGTCACTTTCAATTAAGTACATGTACTTAAAACTTTCGGTAAAACTTGTAATGAATTGCATAATGACACAATTAAACTGGTTTGCATACGAAGTGTGACAAAGGAAGAATAACTCTTACAGCAAAATAATTTTAATATTTCGTGGAAAACTATGACATTTTTAAAAATATTGATTTTTTTTTTTTTAAGTCACTTGCCCACGGGCAAGTGCCTATTAAAAATTCACTTGCCCGCCTCTAAAATTCACTAGCCCCCGGCGTTGGGCAATGGGATTTGTCAGACCCTGATCAAGGTATTAAATTGGATTTGTCAATCCCTGATCAAGGTAATTAAAATAAAATATTTGATAAACAGACAAAAATAACTGATATCACTTTATTCCTACATTATAAATTCAAATTATGGAGAACTTAACATGTTGATTTTTTTCTGTTGACATTTTACCAATTTTATAGCAGAAATAACAATATTCTCGATCTTTTTTCCCTAGATAGATGATATAGATAAGTTTGTTTATATTGGATACAGCAAGAGTTACTGTTCTTGCGCATTGCATCAAGGGATGGAAAATCTCGTTTGGGGGTATACCCCCCCGTTTGGGGGTTTGACTAGACTGCTCAAGCCCTAGCAGAGTGATTCAAGTAACCTTTATAATCAGTAAATTGCTATTTGCTCACTAACATTCTTGTGTACATCCACTTATCATGCTTATATAATAAAAGTTTTCTTTTTAAAGGTGCATAGACACAGATTTGATTTATTTTCTCAAATTTTCTGTACAGTATAATTTCATGACTTTTATGTTGCTTTATGTTGGATTTTAATTTTTTTTTCATAATATACATTTTTATTGACCTGATTAATTAGTGCAGATTTATTTATCATGACTGCATAAAAGAAATAGTTAGGTCTATCTACTTATTTATATTTCTTTCTACACATCATCACCAATCTTTCAAAACCAGTGATGCTTATTTTTTTCAATTTTCTAAGCACCTGGGCGGTTAATAGGGATTATACTATACAGATGGACACATTTCTTTCTAATAATCTCTTCTGGTCTTTGTCCAAGAAGATTAATTTACTTGTTGGACCTCCAATACATAGTTTTCGACAGCCCTGAATTTAGCAAGAGTTACTTCCCGTTGGCCCCCATATTGGAGGTCGACCCTCAGTGATGTTTCCTCTTTTGTCTTACCAAGTTTAAGAGGTTGTAGCAGAAATATTTGGTGGAAAATATTTATTAAATTTTTTTTCAAATAAATGAGGCTTCCAAAAATTTATGTATTTCAGAAAAATTATTCCTAATTCAATATAGCAAATATCAAATTTTAAAATGGGAAGAACAATGAAGGAATACAGGCAATTGGACCTCCAGTATGGCGGTCAACGGGAAATAACTCTCACTAAATTCTGGCTTATCGAAAACTATCTATGTAGTGGAATTCAGGCCTTTTGTAAACTGGTCCCACTAAACAGAGAACTCTAGAGAACTTGGGGTTTATTAAGCGAATTTTAATAAATTGGATGCATAATTTGGTTGATTTTTTCTAAATCAATCGTATTCTATGAATAAAATCAATTAGGTTATTTAATGGAAGTTTTCTCCAAAAAATAGTGGGAAAATGTAACAAATTAGACAGTGAAACATTTTATGACACCCTTATCCCGACTGAGTTTCAAAAATTATGTTTATTGAAATAATCATCTTATGACAAAATTTTACAATTTTTTCACATTTTTAAAAAAAAATTAATTTCTTATTATTTTATCATATAAAAAGGTATGATAAACATGATAAAGATTTTAGAGATTATAGTAATCTGTTCAAATTAAGTAAAAACAACTCAATTCTTTTTTTTCAAATTCAATTTTTATATGGTATTTTGGTTATTTCAAAAAGAAATATTTCATTTACAGACAATAAATGATTAAAAATCATTAGGGTTCTCTAAGGTTCTTCAGGGCTCTGTTTAGTGGTAACCATATGTGGAGGGAGCTTTCAAAAGGTCATCAGTTGTTGTCTGCAAACATTAACCAGTTATATGCTATATAACATACAAATTATTTGGTAGTACCATACTTAAAAAAAAAAGGTGGAGAAAAATTGAATCCCTGTCAAATTTTATTTCAGTTTGTGCAACTGTTGCAGAAATAATGAACAGAAACTTCAAATAATTGGAATTTTTACAAGTCCAAGGAGCACAACTCTGTCCTGAATTGCTTGATCGTAAACATAAACAGATCTTAATTTTGATATTGTTATGATAAATCTGAATACCAAATTTCATTTTAGTATGTTCAACGGTGGTGAAGGAAATGAACGGAAACTTGGTGGACCAATGGACACACAGCAGCAAAGCAATATGCCCTTCCCTCTTCAAAGGGGGGACATAGGAAGATGCCAAAGATGTTCAATTTACAAGTGGTGAGAAAGGGTCCATGAATGTGACTGTTTTGCTATAGATAGTTTTCAATAGGTATGTTATACAGCACATAACTAACATTCCTGTTAGCAAACATCTGATGACTTTTGGAAAGCTCCCTCCACAAATACTGCAGTCTTTTATTTCTCTTTCTAACACTAAGGTGACTAATTACCTGGGACTTAATTAACGAGAACTTAGACTTACCTTGTAAATGCTTCTACTGGGATCTCAGGCTTCACTGTTTTGGCAAATCGGTTCAAACTGCAAGAAAGAAAATGAAATAAATTACACTGAATTCATGAATCAGCATCAAACAAAACATATCTTAATGAAATTTCTCTTCTTACAGAATTTGCTAAAAAAAATTCAAAACATTAAAAAACAACATGAGTTTAGGAAGTAGCATGAAAATTTTATAAATCTTTTAAAAATCTTGTCTGTGGCTCACTAACTGTTTATTGTCTGCTGATCATAAGTCACAGTAACAGTAACACATACCTGGAGGATGACACAGGTGTACACAGATTGGGTTAACAGGTAAGAATGAATGCCCCCTACAGGTAAAAACAATGGCAGGAGTATCCCTTCCCTACCTGTCCACCAATGAGAATCTGTGTAAAGCCAATTAACAGGGGAGCCCATAAAGTAGCCAGGGATGTTAATTCAGGGCTACACAAGTAAGGCTACCTGTAATTAAAAACCTCCGTGTAGTCCCCCTAAAACATCACAGTGGAGCTACCTGTAATTATTCCCCCCTGTACAAACATCAAAGGAGACCAATGGGGGTTACTGCCCCTGTGTACACATGGTACACAGTATACCTATTGTTTCATCAAATCCCATTTATGAAAGGGAAAAAAATACCAAGAGATTCAAATACATTAAACATATACTTTTTTTCTCAAAAATTTCATACAGTTATAAATAAATAAATTATTCCTCACAAAGAAAAAAAAAAAAATTCTATTTTATTGGCATATCTGCTTGCTTCTACCTGCAAAATTTAATTTCTAGAGTAGGTCAAGATAAATTTGGGAAAGATTAGTGGATGTAAAGATAGATCTTATCCAAGGTGTAAAATTCCACCTGTTCCTGTTGTTAATCAAACATCAAAGACCTCTCTTTACTTCAGGGTATATTGCAATCACATGTTTCTTTTTTAAAGGGTCATAAATTTGTATATGTAGAAAGAGGTTGTAATTCATAACTGATTTAATTTCTTATTTCTTTAAGCATGTCAACTTTATTTAAAATGTTTTTATCTTAAACTTTTTCTACATTTGACTAAAAAAATTAAATATAATTCACATTTTGACCAATTCAAATTAAAAGATTTTCATAGTTTATTTATTTACTAAAAATATATCAGTTTATGTCAAAGCTTGTTTTTTTGTGTGTGTGTTTATTTCTCTTTGTATTTATTTGTTATTTACAAATTTCCTGAATTTATTGGTTTATTGTAAGAATCCCAAAACGGGAAACAGGATCCAAGCTGTTAGCTCTGGTGTGTTTACAACACCTCCTGTTTCCTTGTGCTGTTTAGAGGCCAATCTCCTAGTGTGTGCCCTGATGTGATTCTAGTGATGGGTAAAAGTTGTCTACCTTACCAGATAGTTAATAGCCTTTGATGGTTAGACAAACCCTGGTTAATTATTGTTTTTACAATATCAGGGCACATGGTCACCTATTTAATAGATAACAATGTGTGAAAGACTAATTATCACATAAGATATTACAGTCTCACCAAATGTCCCCCCAAAATTCTTTATTTGTAAACTGGTTGTAATAATTCTACAATTTCATTAAAAATAACCTTACATAAACAATTGTATGAGAAATAATTTGTTACAGAATCATTGAGGGTAGTATAAAACCATTAAATTAAATACTTATTTGGGGTGGGGGGGGTTTAGATGTTGGGTATGGGAACTTTAGGACACGGCTTTAAATTAAAAATAAAATTTCAATTTTTGGTGAGTAAAATAGGGATAAAAGGGCTAAAGAAATTGCCCAGAAATTCTTCTAACATAATAATTAATTCTATTAGGAATTAAATTTTGCTTGTTTTTGTTTTTCTTTAAAAATCTTTGCTTGTAAATTTTCCCTTTTTCCCCCTCCCAATGAAAGTGATTTATTTGAAGAATCTAAGTCATGGCGTTTTAATACCTGACAATTATCAGGGAGCACCTGCAGTCCCCCACAATCAATATAACCCCATTCCTCCACTAGTCTACTTACAGACCGCTGTAATGCCAGGTGAAAACTTTTTAACAAACATTTATGGGGTTTATACGTTAATCTGCACAGCTGCATAGAGGCATATGGTACAATATCAGAACAATGACTTTGTGGTTCAGATCTATAAAATGCTGTTTGATTCAAAGATATTTATAATAAAGCAATCTTGTACAATGGGACAAAAATGCCATTTCACCATACATGTGTAGGGTAAAATGTTTAGGTCCAAAACTATGATATGAATACAAAGTAGAATGGTGAAAAAAGGAGGGAAAAATTTATAAAAGCACGTCTATTGTATGGTGTTATTATTTATTGAATTACTTTCTTTTTTGTTATCTTCATTGATTATTCCAGAGTTACTGTCCTTTACATAACCGGTCACAGCTTGTCACCCCACTGAGCCTTTATTCTGGGGGAAATTTTTCTGGGGGGTAAACCTATATCTCCTTTCACTCTCTTCTTTAAAACAGGGGCCCAGGATAATTTAAAACCTGGGCCTTCAGTTAAACCCCAAAAATCTGATTAAGACAACAAAAGATTATACACCTGTAAGCAGATAGGCCAGGGAAAACACAGACTTTGTAAAAACTGAGTAGAAATGCAAACAATTTCTCCTGTTTTGATCTTCTAAGACTATACTGCCCCCTAATATGTGGTTTTTGAGGGGACCTCCACACTTTTCACACCTTACAGAAAAAGATTTACAAATAAAAAACTACCTGCTTATCAATTTGAGCAATGTCGACTGAGTAATTTTATCAAAATAGCTTGTCTGAATTCCTTTACCCTTAAAACTAGCAACAAAATGTGAAAGTATTTGTTTATAATGAAATATTTTGTTTGTTGAATAAATTTTTGGTTGCTTTTGTATAAAATATTTTTATGCATATCAAATTTAACACCCAAAAGAAATCTTCACCTAGCAGTATACTTGTTAAAGTGGAAACTTGGAATTCAATAAAATTTAATCAATGTTAATGACATTTCAAACTAGTGAATCAAATGAAGCATAAACTACAACCACTTCCTACTTATGATTCACAAATACAACTAAGTTCGATAATTTGTTTCCAGCATAGGTAGTGACATCATTATCAAATCAAGTGGAAACTGTCTAACAGGGCCTCACAATGCAGAAGCAATAATTTCCCTGGGAACACCATGTCTGTGTTAATTCTACATTCCTTGTGGCCCGAACCTTTGCCTATTGTTATCATTGTACAGAAATTCCTGCAGACCTAAAATTGTTGATTCTACTAAGCAGAGAACAAAACAGACAAGGACAAAGAACTTCACCCTGTCTAATTCCAAGATAATTTAATAATGAAAAGCTTACATGTCTTGGAGAAAAAAACATGCTAGCATTTAACAATCACAGTAAAATGACAAGCTTGTTTTATTTTTTATGAATTTATATTTTAATTAAAAAATTTTATATCTTTGTCCATTTTTTAAACGAAAAATCGAAAAAATTTTATATTGTTTATTTCTTGGCCTTGTACAAAATTCTTTGAACCTAAATTTTTCAAATTTCTTACCCTTTTGAGAATTTTTCATTTTTAATTTCAGATTTAAATTATTTTTGGATAAATTTAAAAAACAAAAAAAGTTGAATTTCTTTTTTCAAAGGTGGGTAAAAATTTTTTTGGGGTAGTGATTCCTTTCAAAAATTTTTTCACAAATGTATTTAAAAAACTTTATCCTCTCCGAAACTTTTACAATTTTTTGACAATCATTTTAAAGTTGTTTTATGTATGTGCAATCAATTAAAAATTTCCAAGATGTCAAGACCTTTTATAACCCCTTACCTTCTTTCATTTACCGCAGTAATTGAAGATGGGGGGTTCCCCAAATCAGTAAAGCCAATTGTTGCCCGTGGGTAATTTTCAATGCTTTTTTTTACAACTTTCTGACTCTTTATTTATTTACAAAAAATCAAGATTTTTTCCTTGATGATAGTTCCCAAATTTTTTGCCCCAGGATAATAAAAATTGGGTGTTTTAAAAAACAAAAAACCTTTTTATTTCATTTTTACAAATTAAATTATTTTTTTGGGGGTTGGGGGTCGGGGGGATTTGAAATTTTAAATGATTTTGCCCGTTAAATTTTAAAAAGAACTTACAAAAAGTTTTTTTGTGATTTCTAAATTTTACTGAAATAAAAAATCTTTGTGTTTTTCATAAAATTAAAAGTTTCGAATTTAAAATTTTATTTAATGGTCAAAAACGAGTTTTTTTTTTAGTTTTTTAAATTCTTTTTTAAACAGGGCCCCCATTCAATTTTTTTGAATGTGGTTTAAAAATTAATTTTCCCAAATTGATTTTCCCTAAAGTCTAGTAATTTTTTATTTTTTTTTTTTAAATTTTCTTTTTTTTAAAGAACTCTAATACTGCCCCTGTTTAAATCTTAAAATAATGTTGAAAAAACAAAATGTTCAAATCAATTAATAATTGCCCCCTTCAATTTTATGGGTTTCAGGATCATTTAAAAAATTCCATATACAGGGGGTTTTGGTTTTTTCTAAAAATTTTTGGGGCCCTTTTAACAAATAAAATTACCAATTTGGGGCCCCTGGCTATGATATTGAAAAAAAAAATTTATGGCTTTTAGGCAAATTTATTGGTATAAACGGCAGGACACTAAAAACAATACCCAATAAGGGTTTTAAAATTTTATTTAAGGGGAAAATTAAAATAAAGTTTTGATATATTGATTTTTTTTTCTTTTTAATTTTTTAAACTTTTCAATTTCGCTATTATTTTTTTTTTTAAAAATTGAATCAACTTCTGAATTTTCTTTTTTTTAAATGGAATTTATTTTCCCTTTTCTTTTTTTTAAAGAAATTCAAAATCAGTTTATTTGTTTTGGTTTTTGTAAAGTTATATTAACCCAAAATTTCTCAAAATTTCCCCAAAAAATTAAATGCCCTTTATTTAAATTTAAAGAATTTTCATAATACAGAAAACTTTATAAACCTTCCCCTTTTTTCCCCCTCAATGAAATTGGTCTAAAAATAAATTTGGGGTGTTTTATAGAAAAATTCTGACCTAAAGAGTAATTAATTATCTATTAAATAACCTTGCTCCAAACCGCCCTGATTTAAAATTTATTTTCACTACTAGTGTAAAAACCCCCCAAGTTTATCTTTGCTAGGTTTTTAAAAGTTAAAACATCCCAATTTTTTCTTTTCAAAATTATTTTTGTAGGGAGGTTTTTAAAAAACGACCCTAAAGAAATTTTTTCATGAAATGGGCCCTGTTCTTAGAAGAAGGTGAAAGTTAGCAGCTAGAAGAAAGGACCCCCCGGAATAAAGATTTTTAAAGCTACTAGGTTGTCAGTATTTTCTTATTTTTTTTTTGTTTTAATTTTTAAAAATCAAAACAGTTTTTTTTCAGTTTTCAAAATAAATAATTTGTTTTGTTTTTATTTAAAAATTAAAGTATTTTAAGATTTAAAATAAAAATTGGGGTTAATTAAAAAATTTTTAAAACTAGATTTCCTATTTAGGGGGAGAGTCCCCAAAGGGGGGGGGAAACCCCAAAACCCCTAAAAAAAAAGCTAAATTAAAAAATACAAATAAAAAAGAACTTAACAAGTTTTAAGAAAGGGAAAACAGGAAATGTGCAAATTGTTACCTGGAAAGACTGGAAAAAATTTTTTTCAAAGAAAAAAAAATTATTTTGTTTATTTTAACTTTTAAACCTTTTAAAAATGGTCCAATAAGAAATTCCAGGTAAAATATTTCTATCTTTTCAGGATGTTTACAATTTAAAAGGAATATCCCCCTTTAATTTTTAATCCCTGACCCTTCTAAAATTACCCCAAAACACAGGAAAACCCAAAGAAAAAAATAAGCAAACCTTGTTCAATTGTTCTGGGGGTTCCCACCCGAACTTGTTCAAAAAGCCCTATTAGAAAATATTAAGTCAAAAGGATAAGGTAACATTTTTTAAACATTCGGAAAACAAAATTCAAAAAATTTTGGTAAACAAGTAATACAGTTTGCTAAATTCCTGAAATCAACCAAAAGTTAAATTTATTTTTAAGTAAAAATTTTTTAAAAAGTTTTTTTTTAAAATATCTTTTTTTTTTTTGAAATTTTAGTGGTTGCTTTTTTAATTTTTTTATCCCTAAATTTTAAAAAAGAAAGAAATGTTAAAAAGCATTCCTTTATTTTAAAATAGTCATTGGGAAGAAAAATTAAGTTGTGACATTTTGAAAACTCTATTTTTTAATACCAATTAAAAAACTTTTTTTCATATAAGTATAAAATCAAATTTATTACCTTTTTCAACGAAAAAATAAAGGATATTCCCTACCAATCATCTTTCCCTTTTAAAGTTTCAAATTTTGGCTATTAATTAAATTTTAAGGGCAATCACATTTAGACCAAGTATTTAAACTAAAGTGTTTCATTCCTTGAAAATTCTCCTATGTTTTTTAATTCAAGTTAGTTACCCCCCGAAAAAAAAAAACAGACAAACGCGGACCAAATAATTCCGATAACCTCCGGCTAAAAAAATGCCAATGGATTCTGTACAAGCTAGCTGATATAAAAAGTTTAAATTTCTTTATCATACAATAGGTTAGGACAAACAGGTTTTTTATTCCCTTATCAGCGTACATTTAACTAAATACTTTATAAGTTTCATAAAAATATTTAAATTCAGTTTGTCTTTGTTAATTGGATTTATGGATTGGTAAATATCACTTTTATGGCACTTAAGAAAATACAAAGAAAATGTTTAAAACATAGAATTTAACACCTTCATTAAATTTATATTTAATTATTAATATTTTAAATTTTAAAAATTTAACTCAGTGACAGAAATTAAAAGTCTTTATTTGTCTTCCTTTTGTAAATTAAAAACATTTTTTTCTTAAAAGATAATTTGTTATTTTTTTGATAAAATTTTAGTAAGTGTAAGATTAAAATGGGAAACGTGAAATTAAAAGAAAATCTTTTTTTAAAATTTTTAAAGTTTTTTTTTAAATAATTATAAAAGAATTAATCTTTTTTTTATTTTTTAAATTATCAATTTATATTTTTTTTAATTGAAGCTAGAATTATTTGAAATATAAAATGGCCAGAATCCATTTCTGTAAATATTTTAATTTTATTATGAATTTTTTATCGATGCTATACAATAATCGTAACACTAAATTTTTTCACTTGTATCAGTGACTGGGGACCATGTTTAGAATTAACATCAATTAACTCCTCCCTATCTCTCTTGAACCCTCAGACACAGGAACACTTCATAAGAAGAGCATGACAACACGTGAAAATAAATACATAACCCATTATGAGAAAAACAATATAAAAGATTGTTTATTTCCTCTGCCCCTTCCAGCTGTCAGTTCCCCTCACACCTTACTAAGTGACCAGAACATTAAATCTGTCATCTGTCTTTATTTTTTGTCCTCTTGTCAGTCATACATTAACAGCAATTGGACAGAGGGAGAGGAAATACTCCTCAACAACTCAAGTGATGATCTACTGTCCCTAGCAGAGGATTCTACACTTACAAAAGACCAGGGAAAGTTAGCTAGGACTATACAGTGCTCTCACAAAGGATTAGGGAGACTGCACTGTCAGAAGTGGCCAGCTTGATATGAAACTGCTATCTTGGCCAGGCTTTCTTTTCTTTAATTATTTATGATTTACACACAAACTGCTACATTTTTCATTTAGTACAATCAAATCAAACTTAAGGTTTTCTCCCTTTAACAAAGCGACTTGAATACTTCAGTGTGTCAGTAAATTCTTAGTACAGCTTCTACTCAAACTATACAAGTATAAACATAAGGCACATATGCTAAATTTCACTGTATTAAAAAGCATCTAAATCTGGGGTATAAACAAGAAAATGAGATTTTAGGGAAATTAATGGACTTAATCCCTTGAATGGTCTGTTTCTATTGACGTTCACACACCCAAGCTAGCCCAGTAAGCTCCCCAGTAAAACATGTCTATACAGGGGCCTGGTCATTAATCAAGGACTGTCCTACAAAACACTAATCTGCCTAATGAATATACTATTATTCTGAATCTGTGCAACAGTGTCACTGCCTAAATACATCTTATTTGTATAATGCATTAAAATTCCTGAAAGCTCACTGGGTCTTCACAGCAATTTTCATATTCATAGGGTACTCTCTTTATTCTTACAAAGTAATCTTCCCAATAAAATGAACATTATTCGTATCCTTAATGAATTTGACAGATGCTTAATTAGTGAACATTTGAAGAAAAGTAACTAAGGGTTTGACATTGTACTAATTGGCACCTATAAATTCTATAAAGAATACTTATTGCTGAGTAGTGCATTCAATTTTAAAACATTAAACTTTTACTCACAGGAAATCATGTTGGTTTCTCTTGCTGTGTCACTGATTTAAATCAAAATTGAAATACAGACTACCCTAATTAAGTGCTTAAATCCCACCATTACAAAATACGAACACCATAATTAACCAATAAACTGCTCACAATTAATTAGTAGGTTCAAAGAAAAATAGGTCTTTTTTGACACAAAATACTAACCAGAGAATGGGACTGTGTGGTTTATTTGATTTTGAGATAGACCTGTTATCAATAGGTTTGATGTTGTTTTTAAAAACTTAATCTAGATAATCATATTCTTATCACAGATTTGGTTTGATTGCCTTAATAGAGAGGAGAAGGTGTATATACAAGAATGAAAGTGTTAAGAAAGCCTCTCTCCACTAATGTTAAAAATAAATTCTAGGATTTTTAAACCCCCAAAGGCATAACTAGAAACACCCCCCCCCCCAAAAAAAAAAAGATTTAAAGAGAAAAGCACATTTAAAAGTCTGAATATGCTTTTAACCTTGTAAATTACATTGTAAAACTCTGGGAAACTAAACAATATTTATATCAGATGCCTTTGCATGCATAAATAATATAAGCTCCATCAACTTTCTTGAAGTGAAATAATATGAAAATTTCTCAATTGAAATATATACATGTAAATTCACATATAATTTTATACACAATGAACATACAGGGCCAAAAATGTTTGTTTTTTTTTTCTAAAAATAGAAAAAAAAACCACTGACCCAAAGGGCACATGCACATTACAATGAACTAGGCTACTAGCCCAGATTAAAAATTCACAGGACCCAGACCAGTGGGTCATCAATTATTCTCAACCCTAGCAGAGATGAAACACAGAAGTTAAACTTAAATTAATTAAAACTGAAAATAAAATGGGGGACTATAAAATTTGCCCAAAAAAAAATTAACATGTAAAAATTCTTTTTAATTATTAATAAGAATTGCTATAGATACCTGATTCTGAGGAGCTGGCCTGCTCCTGATTGGCTGATGCACATGTTGGTGGTGTTTCTATACTGGACAGAGACAACTTTCTTCTGGGGGTTCCTCTGCAATTGAAATAATTCAGCAGGTCAGATAGTATTCTTATATCATCCTTCATTCTGGCTAGTCTCTCTTTTACTATGCTAAGTATCAAATTTTGATTTGTGGAATAGTATCAGCTATGTCGTGACGACTTCCTACATGCATTAAAAAAATATCATTAATGTAACTTGTAAGTACTCTAGATGGCTTGTGTTTATTCCTGGATGACATAATAGAGTAACAAAACATGCTGCCCTCATTTGCATATATGTCAATCAAACTATAGGCCCTCCTGTAGTGGATACTCAGACTTCAAGGTTCAATTAACAGGCAACATGGACCATTTGACCACCTATTGTGTTGTAATTGATTTGTTAATAGGATAATTCCAAGAATACAGATTGGCATGTTTATATGAAAGTTTACATTTCTTTTATATAAAATAAACTAGCCAAATTGAGTTGATTTGATAGAAACTAACATAAAACTAACATAAAGCAGGGGGGAAATGAAGTACATGATGTCACAAGAGTAAGATTTTCTTACTTTAGATAAATAAGTCAAAGTGTAGTCAAATTGTACATGTACTAAACTTAAAGCATTTTTATGCATGTCCTATCACTGTATACATTTTAACAGTCAGACCAGTTTATAGTGCAGAACCTGTCTAACAAGACAGACTAGTAGGAAACACACCTTGATTGTGTGTACTGAACATGACTTTAATCATGGTCTCATCATATTATGAAATAGACATCTGCTTACTATATTTGCCCAAGGTGTCTGCAAAAGTAGCTATAGTTATAGCAGTTATTGTGAAAATCTATCTCTCAAATGCATTATTGATAAAAAGTGAAGGGAATGAAAAATGTGTAAATTTGTATAACATTTAATTATTCATTTTGACAACTGACGTATTCATTTATAATTATTTTTTTAGAATATACGAAAAGAAAAGGGTCTCAAATGAGATTATAATGAAACTGGAATTTTCAGCATCATAGGCATGATAGGTGCTTGATACACAAGTGTAAAAAAAAAAAAGCTTAATATACATTCAATACTGCCATATTGTTGGAAATGATATTTTTTAAAATACAAATATGTCTGATTTATATTTTTATTCATGATAATCTGGGAGGAAGCCCACCTAATTAAAAAAGCAACAACAGATTTATATACCCATATGCATTACTTATCCCCTAAAAAGAAAAGGGGCTTGATTTTACCAAAGGGTTTCCCCTTTTAAACCACAAAACAATTAAAATTACCTGTCTGTCTTCTCACCTATGTCACACTTACCTTCCAGTACTTAGTTCACTCAAGTTCAAAGCCAGATTTGACATTGGAGAATTCATCTTTGCCTTTTCTCGTAAAAATAAATTCTGAATCGTGTTACTTGTGGCAATAGTTCTTAATGGTTGGTGAAACTGGGAAGGTCTGTCATTTTTCCCAAGATTCGACATTTTCCATTCCCTGCATACATTTGAACAAAGAAAATCACAATGTCAGAGGAAAACATAAAGAACGATAGGGTATATTCTTATAAAACCAAGAATGCAGTTAATGCCAAGGTTCGCATGCAATTCTTACGCTACAGATAAGCCCCAGGGTGAGTCGATTTGTTGTCACAGCCTCCAAGATACAATACACAACGCGACAAATCCCTGAACTTAGCACCCGCTTCCCTCACAACGGCTCCTCATGCGATTCGAATAAGCAAAGAACACAAAGTCCAGCCCTGAGGCAAGTATTGCTACATAGCTAGTACCCCATGTTCAATTTCTAATAGAATTTGTTCATTTGTGTAAAAGATGTGTCTGGTACATAAAGCGCCGCCGTAGTGTTTGAAAAACAAGACCAAATCGACCAATCGGAGCGATGGTTTTATTACGTGTGTAGACAGGAAGTAGCTTTGTTGACAACAATTTTTGTGTATTCACTGCATTTTAACAGACAATTTTGCTTACATATAACGTACAGTAATTATAGCAACCAACCACTACTCCATGCATATTTTGTCGTATCTCTCAATGAAATCTTTGTGAATATTGACAAGGATAAACAAAGGAGCAGGTTAAAAAATATGAGTCCGCATAAAAACGGAAAGCCCCCCCCCCCCTCCTGCGACTGATAGTGGTCTTAAAACCACTTGAACATTGCATATTTTCTATTAATTTGAAACAATAAAAAGCATAAGATTGAGCCAAAATTATACGTTAATCGAGAGACAAAGCTCATTCTATCGGCCCCCAGATACGATCGAGTGATGACTGACCACAGGCACCTGAGGTATGGATAATACCCCCCGTATTTTTTTTAATGAAAAAAAAATGTAAGAGTGTAAAATATCTCAAAAATATAAAATTTCCCTGTCAAACCTACATATCGTTATATGCAAGCAGATTGTACTTTTTCTCACGTTTAAAGAATGGCCCTATTCGGTATAATAAATATACAGATAGGGTCATTCTTTAAAAAAAGTACAAGTACAATCTGCTTGCATATAACGACATATAGATGTGTTTGACGGGAAAATTTTTATATTTTTGAGATATTTTACACTTTTTCATTTTTTTTTCATTAAAAAAAGGGGGGGGGGGTTATTATCCATACTTCAGGTGCCTGTGGACTGACCTTTACACCTTTTTTTCTTCTGTAAAAGACTGAAATATATGAATGATTTTACATATATGTGTTTAGATATGATTTTAAAAATATGATAAGAAAGCACAAAATTTCCCCACAAAGCAGTGTTTCGTTTTATCAATCTTGAGCGAATCTTTGATTATGCACATTGGCTTCGGAAAAGCAATTTGAAGCCAGGGGGGTGGGGGGGCGAGCAGTTTTATTCAAAAAAAAAAAAGGAGAAATTCCATTTTCTCAAACACGAAAATCCTGTTTCGTTAGGGGGGGGGGGAACGTCACTTTCTTCAGTACCAATTTTTTTTCTAAACACCACCACTTTCCCTGTTTTTAACCTATTCTTGGCGACGTGTCTGTGGAAAGAGGGAGGCTAAACCTACGAAGCAATGTTCAATGTCTATACTTAGTATATGTTTGGAAAAAAAGGTGAGGGGGGGGGGGGGCAAACCCCCCCCCCCCCCCCCCCAGCGGTTCCGACGCCTATGTTGCATTTAACTCATATAGATGAACTTGTACAATATCGAAGATATAGAAATTCTTGATTTCTCGAGCAAATTTATTAAAGACCATTCACATAAACTATAGCCTAGATGTTTATTTGTATGCATTTTTCTTTTAACATTATGCAATACATGCGGCATGTATCATAAAAGGGGGAGGGGGCTGATCCCCACACAATCCCGTCCTAACTTTTTACTACATATATAATGAAAATGTCTATTGGAAGACTGGTCCCCCCAATTTTTGTTGCAGGATATGGTCAAATGAGGGAAATTTAGTGGGAAAAAGTGGTACTAAAACTAGAATTGGACTTCCGCCATTTGATTTTCAATTTGAGAATTTTCATTTATTTATTTAATAATTTTATTTGGGGGAGGGGGCGGCTTGTCAATTTTTTTAAAATTTTTTGTTAGGAAATTGAATCTCTTCTCTAAGTTCTCTTGCTACTTTCAAAAACGATGCCACGCCCCTGAAATGTCAAGCACTACTTGTGCTATTATCTATTACCTAATTTTCCTTAATTCTTGTAATCAATGCTTAGAAATTAGACTTTAAATAGGCCTAGATCAGAAATAAATATTATGTTCTGCATAGCATCGATCGGAACGAAGGAATGAAACCAAGCTTTACGAGTCTCGGCAAACCAGATTGAGAATGTAATGATTTTTTCAAAAGACATGAATAAACATTTATTAAATATTTTATGGCTTATAATACTCCTAAATTCATGAAAACGATTGAAATTTGTGTCTTAAGTTTTCTCTTTTATTTTTTTTGACATTTTTAAAACGATTAAAGGGAAAGAAAGCCTCAGGTTTTCCCTTGGCAAATTTTTCTTTTTTCCAAAAAATTTAAAATGCTTTTTTTGCCGATTTTTTTTTCCAATCTTTTTTGGCGGTTTTTGGGGTAAAAAAAAGTTTTGGACCGCCATTTTTAAAATACAACGGGGGGGATAACTTTTTAAACTTGACCCCAATATCTTACTTGAAATTAAAAATACTTTTTGAAAAATTCCAAAAAAATAAAAAAAAAACCATCGGGGCGGGAAAATTTTGGGAGGGCCGCCGAAAAAGAAATTTTAAAATTTTAATTTTTAATATGGAAAATATGGTTCTTTTTATTTGTAATTGTCATGATTAGTTTCAAACCAAGATGTACAAGGTTTGTGTATCTTTAAATTTTACAAGAAAATGAATCTTGAATAGTTTTTTTTGGGGGGGGGATGAGTTTGGTAAAATGTGAATATGCAAGGCATAGAGAAAATTGATTTTTTTCCCCATGGAGCGGGTCCTTGTAAGCACTTTACAGAATGCTAGAGAACCATGGAGAACTCAAGGTTTTTTTTGGTAGATTAAAAAAAAGTACTTAAATGTGTTGATTTTCAATCAATATCATATTCTGTCTATAAAATCAAAAACGGGATTATTTGTAAAATACTTGAAAAACATTACAAAATAGATGGTGAAATATTTTATATCATCCATATATTAAAAACGTGATTTTCAAGTTATACAATATTCTTTGTTATAATACAGTAGTTTATATATACATGTACTTTTAATATCAATTGAACTGAAAATTCTAGATAATGTTTCCCATAGATTGATAGGTATACTTACTTTATACATACAGCTTAGATAAATATCTTCTTGTAACAATTACAAAGGAGATGAGTGATGAAGGCATGCAAAATGCCCTAAGCTTCAGATATATAGAATTCATATTTTAGTGTATGGGTAAAGTTTCGATATTGAAAATTATGAAATAATCATAAAACTCTTCTGAGGAAAACTGAGTTTCACTTTCCTTTGAGACAAACATGCTATAAACCACTTCTACACAACTCCTGTTGAACAGTGGCATTATAGTCATGTTTGTGATCTACCCCTTTACTAATTAGACCTTCTTTTAAAAGGATGTGAACTTTGTGTCATAAAAAATGTATTTTTTGGGTAAAGTGGGTCTTGACTGGAGTCATGTTTTTGTAAACCAAAAAAGTGTATTCTTTCTTAGGCAAATAATTTCAATCTTAGCGAGATTTTTGCAAATTGAGATTTTACAGCACTATAGTCACTTTGCTCATCTTTTTCACCCATCTGATGAAATTAAAACCCACTACCATTGTAATTGTAGGAGTAAAGAATTTCGGTATAGATCCAGGGATGGTGTGAGTCCATTGAGAAGTCCACTGCAGCCAAAGAAAGATCACTACAACAACAGAGCAAACGAGGAGACCACTGAGTCACGAGACAGGTATCAAAGAAATACATAACTATATTGTGTGAAGGTTATATCCCTTGTATCTCGCACTAGCAACAGCTGGTTTGGAATACCTTATACAAGTGGCTCTTGTTAATGCCCTTGGTCAATAATAAATAAAAGTATAAATGATTTTAATGTGATCAGTAATACACAGATGTGATTGTGAATTAAGATCAGCATAGTTATACTAATAAAGATAATGTTCTTTCTCTTATTAAAAGGAACAGAAGGCCCATTTGGAAAAAAATAGAATTCTCGGAAAAGGTGCAAGATGGTGATTTTCCCCCACTACGAAAAGACCTGTGGTAATTTTCACAATAGATTTTTTTTCAATTGATTTTTCAGAAAAAATAAGTACATGAAATTAACAGTTAATAGGTGCTAGAATTTTAGGATTGTTTTCTATTGGACCAAAGGACTGGAAGCCCAAAAGGTTTTCTGTAGTCCTGATTAAGGCAGATTCTAAGCCCCAAAAAATTTGCCATCATGTATTTCGAAAAAAAAATTACCAAGGGTATTAAACACAACTCAGAAGTACTTAAAATATGAAATTTTTAAAAAAAACATGGCAGAGATTTACTTGATTTTAAAATAATTTTTTACATGATAGAAAACTTCAACTTTAGAGGTAATGGAACACATTACACTATCATTTCATTGTTATGTATTTGACCTTTTAAA